CACAATACACCTACTGCTCTGCAATTTACCTTTTTTATTTAACTGTATGTCTTTATGAATCCCTCTATATCTTTTTGTTGAAGCTGGGTCTACAGGCATGTGCCACCATGCCCGGCTAATTTTTGTATTTTTAGTAGAGATGGGGGTTTTGCCATGTCGGCCAGGCTGGTCTGCACCTACTGGGCTCAAGTGATCCTCCCACCTCAGCCTCCCAAATAGCTGGGACCACTGATGCACATCACCATTCCCAGCTAATTTTTGTATTTTTGTTCAGATGGGGTTTCGCCATGTTACCCAGGCTGGTCTGGAACTTCTGGGCTCAAGCAGTCTGCCTTCCTTAGCCTACCAAAGTGCTAATATTATAGGTGTGAGCCACTGTGCCAGGCCAAAAGTGGCATTTTTTTAAAAAAATAGTATAAGTATGTCCTTGTTTAGATCGTTCCCTACTAAGGAATATTTGTTTCCATTTTTTTCTATCACAATGTTTGTACATAAATTTAAGAACATACCTCATTTATAATTGTGATAGATGCTACCAAATAGCTCTCCTAACACACTTTTCCAGTTTGTATTCTCATCTACTGTACATGAGATAATTTGCGTTTTTCTGACTGTTGGTGATGTGGAGCACCTATTCGTGGCCTTTGGGTTTCCTGTTCTGTGAATTGCCTGTTAGTGGTCTTTGCTGTGAGAATGCTGAATTGGTCAGTCTTTTTCTGACTACTTATTTCTCCAGGCCTCACTCAACTCTGTTCCTCTGCAGAGGCTTCTCCATTTCCCCTAATCAGCCACCACCCCCTCCTCTGCTGTCCCATAACACTGTTCACACCATGCCCAGGCCTTCATTTACCAACCATTCCATACAGAATCTACTCATTCCAAGTGTCCACTGTGAGCCCTCTCTGTGCTTGGCCTTGGGCTAGGTGCTGGGTGGAAAGACACGAGCCACTCATCATAGACTCCATACTAAAGTTCAGTTTTGAAATGCAGCTTTGAGCATAGAAAAGAGCATGAGTTTTAGATCTAGACATAACTTGAGTTGAATTCCAGCTTCACCACTTCCCAGCTGTGTAACTCAGAGCAAGTCACTTGATCACTCCAAGTCTCCATTTCCATACTAGTGAGGTGGGGCTAATCCCTCCCTTAGAGAGTCACTTGAAGCTGGACAAGAGACAATATATCTCAAGTGGTTAGCCAGGGCCCATTTACACAGTAGGCTTGCAGTGAATGAATGGTAGTTGAAAGGCAACTGTTAAGAGGTCAAAATCAGTTAGTTCTCAGGTTCTAGGAGCCATTAATAAACTGGAAAATAAAAAGGAAGGAGGTAGCTCCTCTGTTAGCAATGCAAAGGATATGGATGAGTGCCGCTTGCCCAGATCCTGCTACAGAATATCCTTTATCTTTCCTGGTCTCTGCAGCAGATTTCTGCTTTGTCCTGGCCCCTGTCCCAATTCAGCTGTGCACTGTTGATGTACTACTGCCACTGCTGTGGGAAGAACAGGTGCTTCCCTTCTCAAATAAATGTTGGTCTAGGCCGGGCGCGGTGGCTCACGCCTGTAATCCCAGCACTTTGGGAGGCCAAGGCAGGCAGATCACGAGGTCAGGAGATCAAGACCATCCTGGCTAACACGGTGAAACCCCATCTCTACTAAAAATACAAAAAATAACCCGGGCATTTATGGCAGGCGCCTGTAGTCCCAGCTACTCGGGAGGCTGAGGCAGGAGAATGGCGTGAACCTGGGAGGCGGAGCTTGCAGTGAGCTGAGATCCTGCCACTGCACTCCAGCCTGGGCGACAGAGCGAGACTTCGTCTCAAAAAAGAAAAAAAAATCCACAAAATGTTGTCGAAATTTAAAATATTATAGATGTACAGGAGTAATCCTGGCAATATATTTTTAAATTTTTAAAAAGGTGACATTTGTTTTACACAATACATATTACCAAAACAAACAATGAGTAATCTGTGATGTGCTTCTATGCCTGTTTACTTTTCTGGAAAGTGGTTCTCCAATTTTACCTTTTCATAGTACCTTGTCCTTCTCCTTCCCAGCACTTACCCTATAATGTTAATTAAATGTTCTAATTCTTTTCTGGCCAAACTCCTAGACTATAACTGTTTTCCTAGCTAGACTCCTATCTCTCTGAGATCAGTGACTTAAAAATTTACAACTTTTCTGCACTTTCTAACACCGTCTTTTAACAGATAGATGTTCAGTAAACGTTGGTGAAAACAAAATCACACTTGTCTTGAGGAGAATTGAAATAGGCCAATTAATTGGCAGTGTTTCATTATGAGAGGAGAAAAATATTTCAGAGCAGTCTAAGTTACGTTAAAGGTACGCAAAAATAATTTTTTTAAAATTAAAGATATGGGATCTGTCATCCAGGCTGGAGTGCAGTGGTGTGATCACAGCATACTATGACCTTGAACTTTCAGGCTCAAGCAATCTTCTTACCTTGGCCTCCTTAGTAGCTAGGAATACAGTTGTGTGCCACCACACCTGGCTAATTTTTACTATTTAAAATTTCTTATTTATTTTTATAAAAAGAGTTCTTTTAAAATTTATTTTTATATAATTTTTAATTAAAAAGGATCTTATTTTAAATATAGATGGGGTCTCCTTATGCTGCCCAGGCTGGTCTCCAACTCCTGAGCTCCAAGCGATCCACCTGCCTCAACCTCCCAAAGTGATGGGATTACAGCCATGAGGCACCGTGCTTGAGCTTTAAACATTTTTGTTCAGACAGTCTCATTCTGGAGTGCAGTGGCGCGATTTCGGCTCACTGCAGCCTCGACCTCTGCAAGTCAAACCTCAGCCAGGTACAGCTGGGACTCCAGGCGTGGGCAACCACGCCCTGTTAATTTTTTTTTTTTTTGAGATGAAGTTTCTTGCTGCCCAGGGTGGAGTGCAATGGCGCAATCTCGGCTCACTGCAACCTCCGCCTCCCGGGTTCAAGCGATTCTCCTGTCTTAACCTCATGAGTGGCTAGGATTACAGGCATGCGCCATCACGCCTGGCTAATTTTGTGTTTTTACTAGAGATGGGGTTTCTTGCCATGTTGGTCAGGCTGGTCTCGAACTCCTGACCTTAGGTGATCCACCCGCCTCGGCCTCCCAAAGTGCTGGGATTACAGGTGTGAGCCACCGCGCCCAGCCGCCCAGTTAATTTTTAAATTTTTTTGTAGAGACAGTCTCTTGCTATATTGCCCCGGCTGGTTTCAAATTCTCTGCCTTTAGCGATCCTTTCACTTTGGGCTTCCAAAAAGGTGACAGCTACCCCATCAGCCAGGCAGGCATTCAAAATTTATCAGACCCAGACGGACCTGAGTATGGGACTTCAGTTAGCACCATCCCATGCAGGTGGTGGTGGGGGGTGATGGGGGTGGGGGTGTGTGTGTGGCAATTGTTTAAAGGCATTTTTTTTCTTTTCTTCCCTGTACCTGCATCACCCTTTATCTTCTTGCTCCTAGAATTTGTGATAGAAAGAACAATGTGTAGCCAATGGATAGCTTATATTATTTTAGTGTAAATTCTTGGTATACAGTTTAGCAAAAACCTCTTTTTTTCCTTTAAAAATTCACCTTTGGCCGGGCGCGGTGGCTCATGCCTCTAATCCCAGCACTTTGGGAGGTCGAGGCGGGCACATCACCTGAGCTCAGGGGTTCGAGACCAGACTGGCCAACATGTTGAAACCCCGTCTCTACTAAAAATACAAAAATTAGCTGGGCGTGGTGGTAGGGACCTGTAATCCCAGCTACTTAGGAGGCTGGGGCAGGAGAAGGGCTTAAATCCGGGAGGTGGAGGTTGCAGTGAGCTGAGACGGCGCCATTGCACTCCAGCCTGGGCAACAACCGCGATACTCCGTCTCAAAAAAAAAGAAAGAAAAATTCACTCGTAGCCCCTACAAGGAAGTGTAATGGCTCACGCCTGTAATCCCAATGCTTTGAGAGACAGAGGTGGGAGGATCTATACCTTCAAGCCTCGAGCTTCACAAGACAAAGAACTCACTTGAAACTGCTGCTTATCGGATGACATATAAGGGCAACTTGAATTGATGATCCCAGGTTGCACTCTTCAAACTTGGCCCAAATAAATTCTCCCCTTATATTAACTTTGCCTCAGTTTTTCCTTTAGGTCGACAGTTACTTCTAAAGTTCTACATATGGGTTTACCTTGTATTAAAATAAGGTGTGAGAAGGGCAAATGAAGCCCGAGGCTCCCATCACAATCTTGCCACCTTCAGAGGCTTCCAAAGGATCAGCATTAACTCCAATATTTAGCAGGAGTGCAGCTCTTCAAGATTCACAAAGTGTTAAATCTGTTGCCTAGAATTACAGAGTTGGAGGCGCCCTGTGTTCAGCCTAAAGGTAAAAGCGATCAGCCTAAGATCATGAGCTCAAGGGAGAAGTTTGAAGCCATGGGCTCTCAAGTAGCCGTTTCCCGCTGAGCAGGTCTGCAGGCCAAGCAGCCAGCCACGCCGGCCCTCGTCATGCACGCGATAAGCTAGGCTCCCACGCCACGTGGCACTGGGAAGGCGTCCACCGAGCGCCAGGGAGAAGGAGGCGGAGCCCGGCCTCAATCTCGCCCGTGTCCTCATGGGAGTTGTAGTTTTCCTCGCGGGGGTAGCGGGCACGAACTCCCCGGCTTTTGTCGGTAAATAGCATCTCCTTCGTACGAGTCATTCAAATAATAGATGCAGCCTAGGTAGCTTCAAGAGAATATGGGAAGGGAAAGGGGCAAAGCAAGGAAGGCAAGCCTAATAATTATGGGCGGGGCAGAGAAAGCATTCGCACTCAGTACTCATGCGCACATCAGGCCGGGAGGGTGGGCGGGGACGGAAAGGCGACGACTAGAGCGGTGTTGTCCCCGGAAATGCCTTCCCTCCCGGTCTGCGCGGACGCGGCCTCCTTACCTCATTTGTTCTCGCCCCTCCCCGTCCCTCTACGCGTTGTGGTTCCCGGTTGGTGCTTCCTGTTCGCAGCCGCGGCAGTGAGTATGTGTGTGACGGACCCCCCAGCCGCCCGCGGCCCGGGACCCCTACCTATCCTCCGTCTCGCCCGCCGGGCTGTGGAACTAGCGCGTGCCCCCTCGCCGGCCTCGACGTCTTCCGTCCGTCCCTCACTCGTGGCAGGGCGCAGCTCCTAGTCACTCAGCTGCGCGCCGCCTCACGCGGCCGGGCTGCCGGACTCGGAGGTCCGCGTCTCCCTGGCCCTCCAAGGGCTAAGGCCGTGATTCTACAGCGGCTGGGCGTCCAGGGCCTCGGTGGGGGTGGCGTGTCTGCCCTTTTTATCTCTTCGCAAGACCCCCAGTCTTGTAGGGAGGCCAGTCAGTGAAGCGCAGAGGTCTCGGCGCGCCGACAGGGAATCCAGTCTTTGAGGACCGAGTAGTCCCGGGCCACCTCCCGCCTCTGCTGTCAGAAGCAGCAGCTGCAGCCGTGGAATCCAAGATTTCGGGAGCTGTGTCCCTCTCCTCATGTAAAACAAGTAGACTTGGACTGTGTTTACTAAGGCGCCCTTTATCCCTTCCATCCTGTGAGCGGACAGTTGCCTTCAACTTTCGGGAAGAGCTGCCGGTTCGGTGGAAAAGCTGTGGCTGGGAATCAGGAGGCCTGTGTTCTAGCCGTGGCTCCCCCACGAACTCGCTGGCGACTCCCAAAAGCTCTTATTGAGGCTGAATTTAAGATTATTTCAGATTACACTGTTGAATTAGGGGCTCCATTAGGGCCTTTTTCGCTCAGTAAGTTTATCTGAGCCCGTTTCTCCAACTATAAAACGAGAGCGTTCAGTTTGATGACTTTTCAGGTCCCCTCAGAAGCTCTTGACTTTGTGGTTTTCTTTTTCTTTTTAAACTTTTATCTAAGACCGTTAGAGAAGTGACTTCGTGTTTCGAATAGTTAGGCTGTCGCATACAAAGACTTTTAAATGGATTGTGCGTATATTTAGGAAAGCATTTTGCTTTGGAGACAGTTTAGCATTGCTGCTTTCAAGGGAATCTGAGGATGGGGAATAAACTCAGGAAGGATCGCAAGTGAGGATTATATTAGTTTGTTAGGTATCAGGGTAAGAGACTGCATGACCGAAGGAAAAGGGCTAAGGGAAAGGTGAAGGAAATGTTTCCGGATAGGATTAATTCTCATGAAAATCATGTCTATATCCCAAGAAGAGCTGGGACTTAACGTGACTAAATTTAGCTTATTTTTTTCCTCCCGAAGTACTGTGTTCTGTCTTTTGTGACCTTTGTTTCACACATTTGGATTCTCCACCCCAAACAAATTTGATTCAGAGTGGCCATCGCATTTGAAAAATGGACAGACATTTTAACCGCTTAGTCAATTGTGTTTCAACTGTCCTGTCGGGGCAGTTCACTAATAGTAAGAAAGGAATTTTATGTTGAAAGTTAAGTGTATTCATCACATTCCAATGAAATTTGGACTGAAAATGAGGCTGTGGATTTGATTTAAATCGACCCGAGATGGATGCCTCTGTCATCAAGAAGGAACATCTAGGGAGACTAAAGGTGCTTTGGAAGTAAATAAGAGCAAAAGATCAGAATGACCAGTAGGTAGACTGGGAGAGCGGAAGGATTGATTAAAGACTGCATTAAGTAAATGCTGAAAGCTTAAATAAGCCTTAAGTTGTCTAGTTTAAAACCAATCAATGAATACTGCTCCCTCTTTTGAATAGTAATAGCCTTTGCAGTTATTCTATAACTGTTTTATATTTGTTAAGATATTTTAATTCTTAGATAAGTTTCATTTCCATGATATTTTAGGATCTTATATAGGAAACATCTTTTCTGGTCGTGGGATTGATCGTCTTTGAGTACCAACTTGGGAGATTCTTGAATGGCAAACTGACAAATGTGTGTTTTCCTTCTACCTAAAATGTCTCATTTAGTTTTTAAATTGTGCTGGGACGTAAAATGGATAGTTGTGAGGTAAATTTAGGTGTTAGAACCAATGCAAATTTTGCAATGAAGGAAGGTTTTTTTTCCCCCAAAAAGTCTTAATTTGAAGTTAACTTATTTGAAAATTTTATTTTGGGCCATGTGCGGTGGCTCACGCCTGTAATCCAGGCACTTTGGGAGGCCGAGGCAGGGGAGAGGGGGATCACGAGGTCAGGAGTTCGAGACCCGCCTGGCCAACATGGTGAAACCCGTCTCTACTAAGAATACAAAAATTACCCAGGCGTGGTGGCACGTGCCTGTAATCCCACCTACTTGGGAGGTAGAGGCAGGAGAATTTCTTGAACCCAGGAGGAGGTTGCAGTGAGCCAAGATTGCGCCACTGCTTTCCTGCCTGGGGAACAGAACAGGTCCGTCTTGAGAGGAAAAAAAAAATTATTTAAAAATTGTAGTGAACAATTGGCTGAGAATCACAGAAATGTGAATCACTTCTAGCTGTGTTCTTAACCAGCTGCATAACCTTGAATTAGGCCTCCTATCTCTTTGTACTTCAGATTCCTGATGGGAAGATTGAGGAGTTTGTATGAGATAATCTGATTTTGTTATCTAGTTAGTATACTTGGGAATCATGTACAGGGATCAAAAAGCCAAGAAAGCCTTCTGAGTCAAGGGGATGTGTGTGTATATGTAAAAAACATACATTGTCCTCTGAGACACTTTTTAAAAGGGTAAATTAAATTCATTTGAACGTAATTAAAGCAGTAACATAAACCAAAACAGCCTCAGGCTGACCTTAACCCTGGCATACATAAGCTACCTAAATAAAAGAGCATGTTATGCCCAGCACAATTTTCAAGTACAGAAGGTACAAAATCCTCTTAAAGGCCATAGGGGCTAAATTGTTAAATTCATTTTTCTACATTTCAGGGAAAAAGATAAATCCCTCGACCCAAGGAATTCAGTTTTTATTATGGTTCTGTAGTTTATTTTTGGCATACATTCACAGGTGTGCCTATGGCTCTATTCTTAATCCCTTTCCTTTGGGATGGCTCCAGGAGGAGTACAAATTTGTAACTCTGTAATTTAGCTCTTTAATTTTTTCTGTGCTGCACTGGAATTATGTTTTATCTTACGTCCACACTGGATCCTCAGGATGGATCCAGTGAGGATTTTGAAAGAAGCATAATTCCTTTGACTTCTTTTAGAATTAATTTACCTATTAAATAAAAAGGAAAGGATTCATCTTTTATTTGAATTCCTCTGAGGCTAACAATTCAATATAAACTGATAAATGCTATGAGCATTATTCAGACAGCCACATTCAATTTGTGTGATAACAGCATAGCCACCTGAAGGACAGTACAACAAGGGCACAGGCATATGATACCATTTAGAAGAAAAGCATTACAGGTTGGTTTATTTATTTCTGGAAAACAAACAACTCCAGTAGGAATGTAGTGCCTTTTTGGCTCTTGTCCATTTGGTTTTTGGGACTAAGGTGGTTCTAGTACCAGAACTACCATCACAACACCCTAGTATTTTGGGGCAGAAATTTGGGACATTAAGAAAACAACTAATTTTAATTTTATGTGTATAGCTGTTAGTGGAAGAAAGAATAAATTGGCATCATTATTGCTCTCTAGGCTGTCCCTGATTTTGGACACACACTTATTTTTCCAGGGCTCTCAGTAGTCCATCATTACCTAATAGAAACATCTACTGTATAGAGTTTTGGTTGCTGATGCTAGAATTTAAGACTTTGGAGTAGTTGAAAGACAACAGAGAAATTCATCTCATAATTTTGTATTTTAAGCACATACGAGATTTATCGGGGCTGAAGAACAAATGCCCAGTGGTGTAGTTCATTTATTCATATATGAATTCAACAAACGTTTGTAGCTGACCCCGAAAATACCAGTTACCCTACTTGGCTTTGGTGATTCATTGTTTAGCAGAGTGCATATAGTTCCTGCCCTCCTGGGGTTTGTCATCTGTGTTCCTTGGAAATTTATGTTGAATAAGTAATTAGAAATGTGATAAGTGTTTTGACATGTAAAGTGCTTATGGACGCCCATAAAAGGGGCTCTTAATTTAGCCTGGTTGGAAGTGATTTTGAGCCGAGTTTAAAATATGAAGGCTGAGGAGGATTTAATATGCTCACAGTAGAAAGTAAAGTATTTCACTTTATGCATTTATTCCCAAAGTTGGGAGTTCTGTCTCGGTATTGGGTCATTATTAAGTTTGTATTTATACGTTATAAATATACATTATAAAAATATACAGTTTTGTAACTAGTACAGAGTTTTTAGGCAGAGTCTGACTGTGTTGCCCAGGGTGAAGTGCAGTGGCATGATCTCGACTCACTGCAGCCTGTGCCTCCCAGGTTCAAGCTATTCTTGTGCCTCCGCCTCCTGAGTAGCTGGGATTATAGGCGCACACCACCACACCCAGCTAATTTCTGTATTTTTAGCAGAGATGTGGTTTCACCTTGTTCGCTAGGCTGGTCTCGAATTCCTGACCTCAAGTGATCCACCTGCCTTGGCCTCCCAAAGTTTTAGGATTACAGGCGTGAGCCACTGCACTGGCCCACGCTTGTTTTATTTTTGAGTTGGGTTCTAGCTTTGTCACCTAGGCTGGAGTACAATGGCGTGACCATAGCTCACTGTAACTTTGAACTCCTGAGCTCAAGCGGTTCTCCCACCTCAGCCTCCTGAGTAGCTGGGACTACAGGTTTGCACTGCCACGCCTGGCTAAGTTTTTAGTTTTAATTTTTATGGAGATGGAGTCTTACTGTATTGCCTAGGCTGTTCTCAACTTCTGACCTCAATGTGATCCTCCTTCCTTGGCCTCCCAAAGTGTTGGGATTACAGGCATGAGCCACTGCCAGCTTAGGCATTTTTATTTATTTATTTGGCCAACGATCAGAGGGCCATGGGATTAATTTGTTAATTGAGAAATATACATTTACACCGAAACAGTAAACAAAATTGTTTCCTGTTAGGGATTTTAGTCATAATCGAAGTAATATTCTTGTGTATGCTTGAAAATATGAGCTGTAGAACCAGAACCAAGGAAAAGATGAAGAATGGATAGGCTAGTGAGAGCTACTTTAAGTTTTGTTTTAACATTTTGGACAAGGGTTTTGTGTCCTGCAATAGATCTCAACTTGTTTTTCATTTACAATATACCTGTGAAATCTTACATATCATGTGCTGCATAATAGCATTTTGATTAAAGACAGACCGTATGACTGTGGTGCCATAGGATTTGTATACTGTTTTTGCTGAATCTTTTATATGCTTAGATACACAAATACCATTGTGTTACAGCTATTTATAGTATTTGGTACAGTAACATGCTGTACTGGTTTGTATCCTAGGAGCAATAGACCATACCATATAGCTTAGTTGTGTAGTTGACTACACCATCTAGGTTTGTGAAAATCATCCTATGAAGATTGCACAATGAAATCACCAAACAAAGCATTTCTTAGAGTGTTGACTGTGTTTCCATCAATAACTATAACTCAATTTGTCAGTAGTAATTCTCGTTAGGGAGTGGTGGGACTTAAAGGAGTGGGTCCTAACAGGACTTAGAAATCCTTGGAAAAAAGGTATTTTAATATGTCTGAAAATAGTGATGGCCTTCATATTAGCAGTTGTCACTAACAGGTGATATTGTTCCTTAAACTCTCATGATCTGAACTTTTAAAATATATTCTGTGTACACCTTTCTCTTTTGCAGCTTCAAGGTTACTGACTTTTTATGATGTTTGGTGGCTATGAGACTATAGAAGCATACGAAGATGAACTTTATCGAGATGAGTCATCTAGTGAACTGAGTGTTGATAGTGAGGTGGAATTTCAACTCTATAGCCAAATTCATTATGCCCAAGATCTTGATGATGTCATCAGGGAGGAAGAACATGAAGAAAAGAACTCTGGGAATTCGGAATCTTCGAGTAGTAAACCAAATCAGAAGAAACTAATCGTCCTTTCAGATAATGAGGTCATCCAACTGTCAGATGGGTCAGAGGTCATCACTTTGTCTGATGAAGACAGTATTTATAGATGTAAAGGAAGGAATGTTAGAGGTCAAGCACAAGAAAATGCCTTTGGTCCTTCCGCTTCCCTTCAGTCTAATGAGCTGGTTGATAAGAAATGCAAGAGTGATATTGAGAAGCCTAAACATGAAGAGAGATCAGATGTAATCCGAGAGGTCATGATTATAGAGGTCAGTTCAAGTGAAGAGGAAGAGAGCACCATTTCAGAAGGCGATAATGTGGAAAGCTGGATGCTACTAGGATGTGAAGTAGATGATAAAGATGATGATATCCTCCTCAACCTTGTGGGATGTGAAAACTCTGTTACTGAAGGTTAGTATCATATTGGCCATTTTGAAAGTAGTATCATCTTGCATAAGGAGGACCGTTTTTCCTAGAGAAAAGACCGATAGGGTCTGCTCCATTTAATTCCTCACTTTTTGGTCTTGTCTTTTGGCTTGTTTCTTATGTGACTCTCTTACCAGTGGCTACTCTAATGGTGGTCTGTCTGAATATCAGAAAGAGTATGTCAGAATACCAAAGACACTCTGCTTCTGGTGTAAGCAGATTCATAGCTGCTGCTTCCTGTTTGGCTAGAGCCAGTTCTGGACCTGAAATCTTACCTCTCCCCCCCCGCTTGGTACCACAGGTGAGTACTCCATCCACCTCTGACATTAGCCCCGTGTGCTCGTTCAGCCAACTCTGTTGGGACTGTCTATTCGTATGGGATTTGCTTACCCAGGAGTTAGATGGCAAGCATAGGGGATGTCTGGCACACAGAATATATGGAATTAGTGTTAGGATTAGGATTTTAGGTACTCCACAGTCAGAAAGACAGGAAAATATGAAGATCTGTAAGTCTAGGGCAGATTATAGGAGAGAATGCGAATTTTGAGAGCTACGTCATCAAGGATTAAAATTTTGGTGTTAGTTTTGTCTCTGTGACGTGTAGTCATCTAGTCTTAATGCTTATGCCTTCAAGAAGTTCCTTCTTTTCGTTTCCCTCCCTTTATGGCTAATGCTCAGTCTCTTGCACTAGTTTCCAAAGTAGTCTTCTTTTATATCGACCCTGTACACTGTTGTTAAAACTGGTATTGAAATGCTCTTTTACTCATAGTACTTTATTGCTGCCCCAAAATTTTTAATGGCTTCCCCAGAAATGATGACATTGAATGTAAATTGTGCTTGGAGCCCCTGGGATTGGCAAATGTCTTTTTAAGAAGCCAGATAGAAAATATTTTAGGATTCCAAGCCACGTGATAATCTTAACTACTCAACTTAGCCCTTGTGGGAAAGCAGCCGTAAATAATACCTATAGAAATGGGGGTGGCTGTTCTCAATAAAACCCTATATAAAAAAACAGGTGGCTGGCTCAGACTGTAGTTTGCAAACCCTGAGAACTTGACACAAAACAAAAAGAGAGAATAGTAGTTAGGACATAGAACAGAATCACAAAGTTTTTTCCATATAGGTGAGCTCTGATAATGTTTTTAGGTAGAAAGAAAGGAACTTGTGAAGAAGGAGAGACTCAACCTGTTTGATGGATTGGGTTGGGGGCCAGGTTAGAGATAGGATCAGGTGTATGTGTTGTTGAATTATTCCTAAAAAGGAAGAGACACACTAGTAATTGCTAAATCATTAAATATTTATAGAGGTAGAGGAGAAAGAATAAATTCAGATGGATTGAGGTAGATGAGAGAACATATGAGGATGTGTTTGATTTTCTTGGGAAAATGAAAGCAGAAGTAAGAGAGGGTGGGGGATAATTGGAAGTTTAGAATGTGGAAAGGATGTTTAAGTGCTGTGGGGAATACTTTCAGGCAGTGGTTACCAGTATTTTGAAGATGACAACCTGGTTAACTTCGAAACAATTTGTGGACCACCCATGGTTGTAGTTATGATTTTAGTATTCAATTGAGAAAATGCATATTAGAAAGAAGCTACTACTCTTAGATGACTTTGTATTTTATTAACCACAACATTGATATGTGAGAAATAGTGTTTATAATGCATTGCTCTAGGTACCCATTAAGGTAACTAATTCTACGGTTTCCCAGGAGGCTGAAGGCTGTTAAGTTGGAAATCATTGCACTCTAGTGAATCAACAATAAGAGAATAAAGGATTGTTTAGAAGTAGTGTTCAGTCAAAATTAAAATATGAACTTGTAATGAACTCACTTTGAAGGATTCCGTAACTTTATCCAGTAGTACTTGTCAGCTTGGAGCAAGATGACAGAAACAAAATGATCTTGGGTTAGGCGTAACACTATAGAAGGCCAAAATAAGCATTTAGTTTATTCTTTCTCTAAATTACCTTTTCCTGAGATCATACCTAGTTTCATTAATCACTTCTGTATTTATGGTCATCAAATTGTCGTCTCCTTAACCATTTTGTTGATTTCAGTTTCTCCGTGTACACCTACTGAGTATTTCCGTTTGGGTATCCTACTGTTTCACATTTAACATACTGAGAAGAAAGCTTGATAAGCTGAAAAAAAGCTTATTATCTTTCCTTTGAAACAGCTCCCTGCTGCTTTCTATTTGCACTAGAGAATCTACAGACATGCTGCAGTTGATGGCACAATGTGGATAGGTTGGGAAAAACATAAATTAGGTTCTGGATTTGGAGAAGAAATTGAACTGTGCCATATTTGGTAAATGATGGTGATGAGAAAGTAGAGAGAACCTCGGATTTGTGTTTTTGTTTTAGCCAAGTAGAATTAAATTCTGCATTTTTGAAAATTAATTTACTTGACTCTTATAAACTATTACAAATACTCACATATATATTCTCTGTTTTATTTCCTTGATCCACTAATGCTGTAATCCTATTTCTTTCCAATTAATAAACAATGTATTTAGTACTGATGCCTATTTAAGAGTGTTGTTACTCTGTAATCACTACCCCTTTCATAAAAATATCTGGGGATAGATCGGTTCGTATAATCTTTAGAGAGAAGATTTTTTTCATTTCTGTTAAAGTGTAGAGAAAATCTCAAGTAGTTTAGAAATGCCTGTTGTTAAACAGCATCCATAACTATTTTGTGTTCTGTTTCCTTGACCTCACTCTGAAGAAAAAACCAAAATTATCTCCCAGAATTATGGCATAGACAACTGCAGTATGACATAAAAGAAAAGATTACAGGCTCCTTGAGGGTGGGTCTTTTCCATACTCATAAACCTACTTATAATAATATTTAGAGTAATGTCTTGACACGTATATTACCTGCTTTCTCATTAATTGCTAAATCATCAAGCATTTATTGAACATCTCTATGTAGGGTATAAGTAATGCTGAAGTAGTACTGGTGACTTACAGTGGTAAAAGACTTAAGTTTTAGGCTGAGCGCGGTGGTTCACGCCTGTAATCCCAACACAGAGGCTGAGGTGGGTGGATCAGCTGAGGTCAGGAGTTCGAGACCAGCCTGGCCAACATGGTGAAACACTGTCTCTACTAAAAATACAAAAAATTAGCTAGGAGCAGTGGCAGGCGCCTGTAATCCCAGCTACTTGGGAGGCTAAGGCAGGAGAATTGCTTGAACCTGGGAGGTGGAGGTTGCAGTGAACTGAGATTGCACCATTGTACTCCAGCCTGGGCGATGGAGTGAGACTCTGTCTCAAATAAAAGACATAAGTTTTAGCCTTGAATGACATAGTGTTTCGCTAAAGAGACAGAATATAAGAAGCCAAGTAATTTACAGAATTCTCTTCTTACTTTTTTTTTTTTTTTTTTTTTTAGCAGAGAGGTCTTGCAGTCTGGAACTCCTGGGCTCGTGTGGTCCTCCCACCTTAGCCTTCAGAGTAGCTGGGACTACAGGTGTGAACACAGCTTGGAAATCTCTTTTTTTTTTTTGAGATGGAGTCTCGCTCTGTCGCCCAGGCTGGAATGCAATGACACAATCTCTGCTCACTGCAAGCTCTGCCTCCTGGATTCACGCCATTCTCCTGCCTCAGCCTCCCGAGTAGCTGGGACTACAGGTGCCCGCCACCACTCCCAGCTAATTTTTTGTATTTTTTTAGTAGAGACAGGGTTTCACTGTGTTAGCCAGGATGCTCTCCATCTCCTGACCTCATGATCAGGAGATCATGGCCTGTCTTGGCCTCCCAAAGTGTTGGGATTTCAGGGATGAGCCACCGAGCCTAGCCAGAAATCTCTTAACCATAGGAGTTAAGTCTCAAAATTCTGGTGATACAAGTGGTCGAAACTTAAAACTTTATTTAAAAAATAGGATTAGTGAATTTGAGATAGTTCATAAGTCTGTGAAAGACTATATAAATACATACGTATTTTACATTTACTATTACTGAATTTGTAGTAAATTTGAGTACAGCACTATATCTGTGAAAACTTCAGACTCTCCCCTATTACTTTAATTTCAGTGAGACATTATTATATTAAAAAAATACAGGCCGGGCACGGTGGCTCAAGCCTGTAATCCCAGCCCTTTGGGAGGCTGAGGTGGGTGGATCACTTGAGGTCAGGAGTTCGAGACCAGCCTGGCCAACATGATGAAACCCTGTCTGTACTAAAAATGCAAAATTAGCCGGGCATTGTGGCGAGCGCCTGTAATCCCAGCTACTTGGGAGGCTGAGGAAGGAGAATTGCTTCAACGTGGGAGGCGGAGGTTGCAGTGAGCCGAGATCATGCAACTGCACTCAAGCCTGGGTGACAGAGTGAGACTCTGTCTCAAAAGGAAAGAAAAATAATAATGGGCTTACACATTGGTTTTGCTCTACTGACAGATAATACACAACTCAGAGGCATGTATTTTTTTCCTTTCTATTCTTCCTCTAAATCTTCAACACTTTTCTGATTTTGTGATTTGAAGTTGTTGATTAGCTTCCTGAGGCTCTATTGAGACCGTATATACGTGACACTTAACAGTCTAGCCTTCCTCAGTACATATAGCTATATGATGGTGGTTTTGCCTGTAGTTAATTCATGTCAAAACATAGGCTTTCAGTGCCTATTATATATGACTTTCAGCTCTCTCTACTGTGGGATGTGGGAATTTATTTCTAAGGTCTGAGCCTTTTTTCCTTCACTCCTTTACTCTTTCCTAAGTCTTCTTTATAAAAACTGTGCATGTTCTATCGTTTGTTTTCCTTCTTGGTTCCCGCCCTTTACTTTTTTTTTTATTATCCCCAGCAAGAGTGACTTGTAATTCTCATATATTAGAAAGGCAGATCTCCTGGTGGAAGAAAAGATGCACCCAAGGAAGTCAGCATATTCAGTAATTTGTGAGGGGGATCTCAAGTTTGGAAAGGATTGTTATGTAAGACAACAAAATGATGACATATGACAATAATGACAGAATAGCTACTTATTTTCC